ATATATATATATATATATATATATAATCAGTTATTGTGCACAGTGGGTTGTGTTAATAAAGATAAACTCCGCATGTGTCACTGGCAGCTGTTTGAGTTATGGAGTTTTAAATGTGCAGACAGAACATTCAGTTCCAACATGGCTTTGTTTGTGAGGTTTAAATCCCAAATGACCATTTGGGATGAATATTTAAAATCTTTTTCTCGAAGTACGGATGTTCTTGGTGAGGTGGAGACTGGTCGATGCCATTCTCATATCTGAACCTCAACTATGCTGCTGAAAGAGGTTAAACGTTGTTTCGGACCTACCAGCATCTATAAAAGTGATCAACGCTAAATGTGAAGAGAAATTTGGGATTTTTAGAGTTGGTCTTTCCAGGGTCATTGGTTTCCTGTTCGGTGTTTAAACATCAATCATTTCAGGTCAAATCTGACATATCTGAAGTTAAAATATTCATTAAATAATGTTTTTAAAAAGTGTTCGAGCAGCACAACATTTCCCAAATACCTTTTAATTACGAACAGAAAAGCCAGGCTGCGATGGTCACCTGGAGCTTCGTCAGCCTCAGAAGCTGGAACCGTACGACCACAGGAAGCATCATAACAACGAAGGACTCGTGGAGCAAAGTCGCTGGAAAACATGGCTCCATTGAACCTCGAGAAAACGAGACTAAAGAAAAGTAACTTTCTGAAACCTCACACCCAGAACGATGAAAACATCTGGCGTAAATATGAGCGGCTCGTGTTCGACGCTAACCTGTGAGTTGCTGGTAAAACCTGCAGGTCCAAGGTGTTCGATCAGTCGAAGGGAAGACTTTTTGATTTGTTCGTTTCTACGTTTTGAGAATAAAATCTAAATGTTAGGCCAAAAAAAAAAAAAGCTTTCCAGATTGGTCAAAATGGGTCACAAACAGATTTTTGTTTGTACCGTAGCTGCATCGTTTCCCCTCAGTAATGGTGGCAATTAGACGGCTGTATAATTACACCGCCCTCGTTATGCACTTAATTTCTGTAATTACAAAACAGCATTAAGTTATTTGGAGATTAAAAGAGGTGGATTCCATTATTGGTGTAAAAACCACCAATAGTCAAAGGTTTTGCAGTGTCTTTATATTTTGGAACAAGTTTTAAAACTAAGGAAGTTAATTTAGCGCACCAAAACTTAAGTCTAAAGCTGTTCCTAACCTATAAATTAAACATTTTGGGTTTGAGAAGAAGAATCTCATTACTCGCTCAAAATAATTTGTTGTCAGTTTTATCCCTTAAATGCCATAATAATTGTTTTTGTTGTTTGGTAAAGTATGTTTGTTTTACTGGCACATTGGTCCCCATGTGTATTTATGTACTATTTTTTAATATTAATATTATTTAATATAATTATTTACCTACCGGTAATAATTTATTTTGTGGACCCCCAAGCTACGACCTGCTGACACCTCTGTACCTCTCTACTGTTTACCAGAGAACAATAGTAACAACAAAAAGGTTAAATCGTGTAATTTGGACCAGTTGCTTTAAAGGAGAAACGTTTCGTCTTCCATCCAGAAGACTTCAGATAATAATAGTACCTACCGTATTTTTCAGACGCAATTTAAATCCTTTTAATTTTCTAAAAAATCAGCAGTATGCCTTATAATCAGGTGCACC